GGAGTTGGCTTCTTTGCGGTTAATAAGGAGTGTGATGATGATGAGAGTGAGGATGAGGTGTGGATATATGGAGTTGGCTTCTTTGCGGTTAAGAAGGAGTGTGATGATGATGAGAGTGAGGATGAGGTGTGGATATATGGAGTTGGCTTCTTTGCGGTTAAGAAGGAGTGTGATGATGATGAGAGTGAGGATGAGGTGTGGATATATGGAGTTGGCTTCTTGGAAGTTAAGGAGGTGTGTGATTTTATAGTGGTGCGCTTTTGGTGGTTTTGGATCAGAGTGGATTTAGAGAGATAGACTCTTGGAACTTAAGGAGATGTGTGGATTTAGAGTGGTGGGCTTTTAATGGTTGGGGAAGACTGTGGATTTATAGAACTAGCATGTTAGCAGTTGAAGATTAGAGCAGATTTGTAGAGGTGGTGCCTCTTAGCACTTGGGAATGAGGGTGAAATAGACATCTTGGGAAGGAAGGAGAATAGATATGAAATATATCATGGAAGAGGTTCCTTCTGGGGGTTTGAAAGGAGGAGGGCGGATTGCAGGGCCTGGTCCCGGGGGAGGTTCGGTGGGAAGAGAAGTATTGACTATTGTGAGAGAGGGTAGAGCTCTGTGATTAATACCCCCGCTGCTCTGGGATTGTCGATAGCAGCAGATTTCAAAACGCTTGAATTAATTGGATTTTTTTTTTACTGTTGAACCTTTAATCAGAGAGCTGCGACCGTTTCTCTCGTGGGAGGCTGAGAGGCGGCGCGTTATTTTGTGGCCGTAAGCTTTGTGCGAGTTTGGTTTCGTGCAAGCAGGGCTTTACACAGACAGGAATTCATAGAGATAGAGCTTCACACAAGCAAGGCTTGACACAGACAGGGTTTTACACGGAGAAAGTTTTACACAGACAAGGTTTTACACACGTGACACAAGCCTTAACACAGACAGGCTTTTACACACACAAGCCTTAACACAGACAAGGTTTTACACACACAAGCCTTAACACAGACAAGGTTTTACACACACAAGCCTTTACACAGACAAGGTTTTACACACACAAGATTTTATACGGACAAGCTTTTACACAGACAAGCCTTAACACAGGCAGGGCTTAACACAGGCAGGGCTTAACACAGGCAGGGCTCCGTATCTCAGCATCCTTCCTAAAACAGAACGCCAGGGGGTGAGACGCGCGTCGGGTCGTCGTCGTGCGAGGCACCCACGCGTGAACGATTGACGCGCGCGGGGCGACGAGTAAGCGACGAGACTAGGGGGTGATACTCCATTAGGAGTGTTCCCAACTTTAATGTCATTAATGGGCATAATAACATATATATGTATATATAATATATATATGGTCATGGTCATATATTAGTTTGTGGTTTAATATCATTTAGGTTAGGGTTAGGGTTAGGATTATCAATCATTAATCATTAATGATATCAAAGTTGGGAACACTGCTAATGGAGCATTAGCCGAGACTAATAGCGCGAGGCTTCAATCTGCGTCGTCTGCGCCGACGGCGTGCGTCGGTGTCGCAAGATGCCTTCGCGCGAGACGCGTGACGCAGTGAAAAAAATACACGGGGGCTCGGGGCGATGTAGCCCCGGAAATGCCAAAAAGAGCCCCCGTAAATTTGCATAGAGTTCAATGCAAACCAAAGTTTAGAGTGCTATTTTCATGCACGCGAGCTTGAAAAGTAGCCCCCGAAAAATAAATTTTATTTTTTCCCTGGCGTGACGGGTCGGGGAGAAGTCGGGTTGTAGTCATATGCTTACAGATATGAGTATAGTATGAGTGGGAGCAGTAGGAGTCGGAGACGCTGCTGTTTAATTAAGCGAGGGTTTTTGCCAGGCTGGGGTATTGGGAATCAAATTCAATTATGTTTTTTGAGATTTCGCCAGTGTCTGTCTGCAAAATTATGTTCTATCTCTCTCTCTCTCTCGCTCACTCGCTCTCTCGCTCTCTCTCTCTCTGCTGCGTTTTCTCTCGCTCTCTTCCTCTTCTCTCTCTCTCTTCTCTCATTCTCTCTCTACTCTTCTATCTCTCTCTCTCTCCTCATCTCGTCTCTCTCTCTCTCTCGCTCTCTCTCTTCTCTCTCTCTCTCTCTCTCCTTCATTCTCTCTCTTCTCTCTCTCTCTCTCTCTCTCTCTCTTCTCTCTTCTCTCTTCATCTCTCCTCTCTCTCTCTCTCTCTCTCTCTCCTTCTCTCTCTCTCTCTCTCTCTCTCCTCTCTCTCTTCTCTACTCTCTCTTCTCTCTATTCTCTCTTTCTCTCTGTTCTCTCTCTCTCTCTCTCTCTTCTCTCTCTCTTGTCGCCTCTCTATCTCTCTCTC